ACGGGGCCCCGAGTCCTGAAGCCATGGTTTCTACTGACAACGATGGTAATGCTGATTACACTATGCATGGCAGTCCCAAAAAGGAGACGAACTCGACGTACACCCCTGGCTGAGGAGGAATCCCAAGAGATACAGTTACAGGCGGATCAATCATCGAGCACCGCACACCATGGCACATCGTCCATTGGCATGTCTTCGCATAACATTGGCCCCTCCCCGGACCTTGTTCTCTACGAGATTGCCACCCCTCCGATCAACACCACAAGATGCCCACTTGTACGATCCACGGACGGCTGGAGATACTCCCAACCTCCGCATGACTTGAACGCGAGCACATCTCAAGGGTTTTTGTGGACACCGCACCCTGATTGCACTCCAGCTGGGCAATGGGAACAACAGGAGACGATAGGGACTGTCCCTGGGCAATCCTGGCCAATCGCAGCGACTACACACCAAGGCACCACATCCACTGGATGTGGCATGACGGGCAGCATGACCGGCCCGGACACGGGCACGGCAGGCAACCCTCCGAAGGAAGACGATGAGACGGAGGCACAGCCATCAGGACGGATAAGGGGAGGGCTTGATAAACCAGTGACAGCCCCAAAGCCAGAACAGCGGAAAACTTCCACAAAAACTACTTCACATAGAACAGTCTTCATTCATGCCACCCATGGTGCATGCAGGATCTGGAACTTGACGACTCCGTGGCTTACTCCACCGGCAAAGCCATTGAATATAAAGCAAAGCTTCTTTTTAGCCAAATGGTACGGGAACGGGGCTGACCGACCTGGTTCGAGGAAAACAGGGCCTCAAACTACCGACTTTGCAGTTGCAGTTTTAAAAGTTTCCGAGCTGTATGCACGCGAACACAGACCATGGTGTTTCATGTTTTTACGGAACTGGAGCTTGCACACTTCGCTCGCACAACATGCTCGGCAGCCATCTCGTTTGTGCAAGTCTACGGTCGTGCAGCTAAACACATGCAACCGCGTTCACGGTGGTCGGGAACCCAGATTGGATACAGTCATAAGCACATCCGCTTGCTTCACAAGCCCGATGACAGTTTCTCCATCGTTATCAGGGTGTGCGGACACCGCCACCCAACATGACTTGGGTAACTGCAAAAGCCGCCAAGGTACTAGATGGACCCTGGGATCCTGGCAACCCACTCGTTTAGGCACACGCCTTACGTCGGAGAGCAAAAACAAGAATATTGCCCTCCACCCGCTTCACACCCCCCAGGTCCATGCATCACCGAGCAGCATCACGCCGGGCACCGAAAGGGAACATGCGTTGCGATTAAGGGTTTTTGGATGCTTGCATTCTATGGATCAGGACACAGCGGTCACCGCGTCCCTAATACTCATTCAGGCCTCCGGGATCTCTGCGTCCCCGCGCATGTCTCAGGGTACTTATAGAATAACCATCTCGGCAGTGGTTTTACGCAGTCCAGACAGGTACGTCGAACGACGCACCTCTGGGGCACGAGCCTCATTCCGGCCCACGAGGCCACCCGCCTTTTGCATCGATTCGTCACTGCTACATGCATCGGATTGCAGCGTGCTGAGCAAGAGCTACACACACTGAGTGTCTGCAGTTTCCGGGCTCTGCTGCTCTCTTTTCCCCCGAACATCACAAAGACGATGACGATTGCACATCCCTCAACAATTTACCACGGTCATCTAGGGGTAGGGCAGCCAAACCTGCTTGCATCCGGGGGCCATGGCGCATCGTACGAACGAGTACCCTATGGGCCCGCCACCATTCGATGAGCATGGTGATGTCGACACAGTCCTGGAGTGCATGCGGGAGATCATGGCACACGGGGGCGGGGTACTGGAGGCCCACCTCCCCCCACTGCAAGAGAGCGCAGCCGCTCAGTCAACCGCGGAGCAGCTGGCCCGCCACCCCCGACACCGGTGCGCCCGACATCGACGAGCCTGGATACCACTCCGAACACTCCGGGAGGGCCGCCGCCGCCGGTTACTGGGCCACCGGCCAGCGCCCACAAGGCGGGCGCCAACCCCGGTCGGAGCTCCCCTTCCACCTACCCCAAAGGAAGGACCACGTCCGCCACCTCCGCAGGATGATGCCTCAAGCACTCCACGGGGGCCGGCCACCACCAAGAGGGGCAACTGGGCCAGCCGGCATGGATTTGCGGATTGACGGCAGGCCAATCCACGGGGTCCACATGTGCCCGGTCACGCGAGGCCACTTTGTCCTTTACAAGGACTCCAATGGGGCCACATGGCTGTGGGCACGCAGACTACCAACATAACATGGTCATTGGACGAGCACCAACAGCGGGGGCAGCGGCCTCGAGTCCCAGAACCGAAGCGCCACCCCACGACAGCTCGGCGTCAGGCAGTGGTGCATGAGGTAACGGATGGTGGATGGCCCCTTGGACACTTGCACTTACCCCCGCCGGGGGTGGCAAAGGGGAGCCATCATTTCTCCGTTTTGACTTTCTTCATCGACTGCAAGTCTCAAACGGCAACCAATGCCGCAATCTTGCATCCAGAAACTCCGAACTGCGTGCAAATATTCCAGCGCGGGCCACGAGCAAAAAGGAAGGCCTTTAGTGCATGTGGTTTACCACTCACTATCACTTCTGAGCATAACTGTGACTCAATTGCACAAATAGCCAGGCGTCTACTCCGACATCCGTACGGCAACGAGGATGAGACCAGGCCAGCGCCACTGCAATCTTGCACTAAGTCAAGTTTTTCTGACCCATGGCCGACTGCAGCATTCGCTTGTGCACCTGAGCCTGCCTGCAGAGCAACACCATCATCGAAGCAGCTTGACGCAAGACGGTTAGGCTCGAGGAATATGGGAAAATCACCGGCGGCCAAGGCGCGCCAAGCATGCCGGCCACCGACCAGATTCCGTGCACCCGATTCTACCCCGGCTGGCGAACGCCCCGCCAAGTTGTCAGACTGGAAGCCGGAGAGGTTCCCGTGGAACCATAAGAGCTGGCACCAGTCAAGATCTGGAGCAAGAACGGGAAACAATGGACAACACCATTCCATGGTGCAAAAGCCTCCCAAGCCACCGAAGGCCGTCCGGACAGAACCAGACCATCAGGCAGCCACCTCCTCGACCACGGTGACCTCATCTAGTGAAGAACGCAGAGGTGGTGGAACCGTCTTTGGATGATGTGGAGGCCGAATCTACGGGAACCCCTGATCAGGCCGGCAGCAGAGATTGTGGAGAAGTACGACGCAGTGTTTCCTCTGCAACACGAGGCAGGATGGACTGGCTGCATGGAAGACCCACCTGCTCACGCCGACGCACCGCAAACTCATAGTGGCTGCTGCACAGCTCTGGTTCCGGGCCTATGCCACCATGAGCGTGTGCGAGGACACACAGTGACATACAGCCACCCGACATTGCTTTGGGCACTCACACCACTTCTCCCTTAATACGTCAGGGACAGCTTAAATCCTTCCCCAAGTCGCCACTCCTCAAATTCATCTCCTTAAGCCCGTCCCCTGGCCTTATCTTATTGCCCCTCCCTTCCCCATCCTTGTTCCGGGCTCCGCTCTTCTCAGGCGGGAGCAGACTGCGGCACGGACCACTCGTGGGGAGACACAGAAGGTGCATCACGACGAAGCCAATGCTCCAGCACCCAGCTGGGCGAAGACGGTGGAACGCACGCATTCTCCCGCCGGACGGTCGACTGGACATGTTTGAAGACGCCACGCGAGCAAGGACTCAAATTAAGTGAAAGAGTGGAATCGTCATGCCTACTCTCAGCATCAGCCCCGCAAACCACTCCGGCACCCCAAGCATACCTGGAACAGGTCCAACTGGCGAAATGTTCGCTGGAGGTTCCGAGCTGGGAGGGCGAAGCGGCCTCGTCACGGCTCTAGAACCAAAACTGTCGCATCAACGCTTCCCCCTGCCGCTATGGAGGTCATGCGACTTCGGCTCCAGCCATCGCTGCTGCCTTAGCACCCTGCGGCTGTGGTGTTTGAGACTCCTAAACTGCGCGCGCGAGGGAACCACAAAACATGCATTGTCGAAACCGCCATGATACGCAAGCGGATTGCGTTACATCATCAGTATGTCAGCCACACACACACACACACCTAGTTCGAATTAGGAGCTTGCCCGGTCCCAAGTCCGGGTGGCGCACATTGATTACACCAATCGGAGGCCGTCCGGGCCTCGCAGAATGGTGTTTTTTCTGCACATGTGCGCTGGGGGTGATGGTTGCAGTGATTGCCCTGTCACTGCTGAAGCCACCGATATTCGCAAGTAAGGCCTACGGAGGTCTGGCGAATAAAAGGGCCTGGGTCTCAGGAAACACAAGCGATTACCAGCCACACAATTCTAGAACTCCCCAGAAGCAAGGAGAGACCAAGCATCGACAGGTTCCGCATATTGGGAGCGCCCGACGCTTATGGCAGGCCTGGATATGGCTGCTTTGCTTGATTATGAGTATCCATGTCACAGCGGCGACGCCAGAAGCCACTACGCCGAGCGGGGGAAACCCCAACAACACTTTTTCCTGGATAAGGAAGCGGGCATTCCGCAGAGCTCGTGCCCGAGCTTTGTTACATGGAGGCACATGGTATAAAGGGAAATGGCACACCCCTTCGACTTTGGGGGCTGAGGAGAATCCCGCTCCAAGGTCACCAGGCCAGTCTACGCACCACCCCCAACGAGCATCTCACCAAGGCCGTAGACTCCACGTGCTTTCTCTCAACGTCGGCATGCTTTCAACAAGTGCATATGAATTCCTAGCATGGGCGAATCACCCACCACACCCTTGGGATATCATATGCCTCCAGGAAACTGGATGGACATTGGAGCAGCAGTTCCAGGCCGGCAATTGGCACATTGTCTGTTCGGGACATGCACGTGACCGTAACAGTGGCGTTATGACGCTTATTTCCCGAACACTCCTTCCGGCAGACCGTATACGATACTCCGCCACACATGAAGGTAGACTTCTATGGGTCAAGCTTGAGTTCAAAAGTCATCACGTG